GCACTGGCCCGTCTTCCAGAAGTCATGAGTTCAATTCCCAGCAACCACATCGTGGCTCACAACCATCTATATATTGGATCCAATGCCCTCTTCACATAAGTAAATAAATCTTTTTTTTTTTTTGAAGACCCATGTGAACTGTCAGGTATTGCAGGATATTTGATCACACTGGGAACCTCAAGATTGTGTTATTTACTGGAAAAACCTGTTTTTAGTTGTGGTGTGGCTCAGCCTCAGCCCACACCTTTAATCCAGGAGCTTTCTGCTTGAATATTGTAAACAGAATTAAATAAAGTCCACCTTAGGTCAAGAGGCAGAGCAGGGAACCAGCTGACAGAAGTGAACATAGGGTTATTAAGAAAAAAAATCACCTGGCCGGGCAGTGATGGCGCACGCCTTTAATCCCAGCACTTGGGAGGCAGAGGCAGGCGGATCTCTGAGTTCAAGGCCAGCCTGGTCTACAGAGTGAGTTCCAGTACAGCCAGGGCTACACAGAGAAACCCTGTCTTGAAAAACAAACAAACAAAAAAGGAAAAAAGAAAAAAAATCACCAGCCGGGCAGTGGTGGCGCACACCTTTAATCCTAGCACTTGGGAGGCAGAGGCAGGTGGATTAATGAGTTCGAGGCCAACCTGGTCTACAGAGTGAGTTCCAGGACAGCCAGGGCTACACAGAGAAACCCTGTCTCAAAAAAGCAAAAAAGAAAAAGAAAAAGAAAAAAGAAAAAAACACCATAGTACAAGAGAGTCAGGAGGACAGATATTGAGACCCAGAGGGAGTAGAAGGAAGGGACATTTAGTTTGAAGGTTTTTAAAGACATCCTGAGAGGGGCTTTGCTGGTGGGACTTTTGGCTATAAAGGAAGGTCAGCTAGGTGCTTTCTCTACTTCTCTTAGCTAGCAGGCTTTCACCCCAGCATCTGGCTCCTGAGTCTTTGTTGGTAAAATCTAAGGTACCTTTTATCTACCAGGCTTTGAGCCAGTGCTGTTGATATTTACAAGACATTCTTCTGAATCACAATACAATGTCCATTGTTTGGTAGGTAACATGAAGAAAGGGGGAAATGGAGAACATTTTAGTTCCTCATAACACTCTATTGGACTAGGTTGCTTGCGAAGAATCTGTGCTTGAATGGCTGAAAACTGAGGGAGGAGCTGTCTGTAAGAACCAAACACCTGACTCTGAAAAGTTGGGAAATTACGCTGGGCAGCATGGATTACCAATGTAGAAATTTAAAAAGTGACAACTTTCAGTCACATATAGTTTTTCAAGCATTCACTTCCACCAGTTAGAAGTTTGGAACACTGGCTCTGTGGTGAAGAACACCTGCTAACTTGTGTCTGGAATATTTTCAGTTATATCTGGTCTCGTGTTTCTAGTAGAACCATTTTGTAGGAAAACCAGTCTTTGGTCCTTGCCCTGTCAGAACTGAGATGTCTGTCGTCATGGCCATCCATTTTCCTAACAGTTGTGATAATGTGGAAATTTTGAGTATATGTTCTGTGTGTGGCATAAAATTGTGAGTCGGTGGAACTGAGGATTCTGAGCATTTGGTTGTTATGAGAGGTCTTAGGGAAACTTGCCAAGTGTGAGGCTGGAACATCACTGGAATAAGTTCAAAGAAAAACAATGTGTAGCTCTTCACTTGCATACATGAACACAACGTGACTCTTATGGCTCTTTTTGGGTATGTGTGATAAGAATCGGATGGTCTGTGTACTCTGCTCCTCGACCAATAAAATCTGTTGTGAAACAGTTTTGTTTGTTTGTTTAGGGTTTTATTTTTTAAACAAACAAACAAACAAAACACTTGCTGATCTTCCAGAGGACTACAGTTTGATTCCCATACTTACTGGATGGCTCACAACCATCTGAAACTCCAGTTCCAGGAGATCTGACGCCCTCTTCTGGCACATTTGGGCACTGCATGCATGTGGTACACAGACACATATGTCACAGAATACTCAAACATTTCAAAGTAAAAATAATCAAGAGAGGGGGTTGGTGGGAGGAAAGAAACCACAAAAAGAAAACCCCCATGACCTGGTTCTGGAGCAGTGAGGCCAAAAGGCTTACTATAAGTTTTAACTTCCAGATTTAGAAGTTGGTGTGGACTTGGGTGTGAAAATTACTGAGCAGTCATCCAAGCTCAAATATGAAAAAGAAGCCGCTTTTAGCAGGGTAAGAGCCTTCAAAACTCTTCCGGGCTCATGGCATCCTCAAGAGATGTTAATGTCCCATTTTTTGGTGAAATTTTTTTCTCAGGCTTGCAAGATGTCTCAGCAGTAAAGGTGCCTGCTGCCAAGCCTGATGGCTGGGGTTGAATGCCATCAGTTTGGTTCCTGAATCCCACATGATGGAGAGAACTGACTCCAGAAAGTTGACCTCTGACCAAAGTCCCACCAGTAATGCCCCTCTCTCCCAATGTCCTTAAAAACCTTCGAACTGAACGTCCCTTCCTTCTATTCCCTCTGGGTCTCAGTATCTGTCCTCCAGACTCTCTTGTACTATGTTTTTTTTTTTTCTTAATAACCCTATGTTCACTTCTGTCAACTGGTTCCCTGCTCTGCCTCTTGACCTAAGGTGGACTTTATTTAATTCTGTTTACAATATTCAAGCAGAAAGCTCCTGGATTAAAGGTGTGGGCTGAGGCTGAGCCACACCACAACTAAAAACAGGTTTTTCCAGTAAATAACACAATCTTGAGGTTCCCAGTGTGATCAAATATCCTGCAATACCTGACAGTTCACATGGGTCTTCAAAAAAAAAAAAAAGATTTATTTACTTATGTGAAGAGGGCATTGGATCCAATATATAGATGGTTGTGAGCCATGATGTGGTTGCTGGGAATTGAACTCATGACCTCTGGAAGAGGGGCCAGTGCTCTTAACCCCTGAGCCATCTCTCCAGCCCCCAAAGGGTCTTTTAAAGGAGCCTATTTTTCCTTGTTTACCTTCACTATGTTTTGGCCAGGCACTTGTGGACATAGATGGCTTTTAATGTTGAGATTGAGTTAGTGCATCGAGGAAAGGGATTGGGGGCAAATAACAGGCTAGCAACAGAAAATACAGCTCAGCGTCAAAGCAGAGAGGTTTAAGATCTGCCAGCCTGCAAAGAGCTCTAGGTTTTGGAGTGGAACCCTTGAAAATGAAACGAGTTTTGTATCTGGTTTCTTGGTAAGGAAATGTGGAATGGAACGCTGTCCTTAGTGAATGGTAAAAGTGTCCATTCTTGAATTCAGACTGTGTGTGGTCACCTGCAAGGAGATCCACACAACTGAGGCCGGTGCCACTTGTGCCCGTGACTCATAAGGCCCCACCCACACCCCTTACAGAAAAACCCGGGAGGTTTTTGGGGGAGGAGCTCACACGGCTCCCTCCATTCCCTGAGGGTGTATAAGCAGTTAACAGTTGTTGGAATGAGGGAGACACTTAATTCATTAGCACAGCCACTGATTAATTGCTCATGCTTCTGTAAGTAACCCAATTAAAGTCTGATTCACCAGCTGGGCGGTGGTGTTGCAAGTTTATAATCCCAGAATTCAGGAGGCAGAGGCAGACGGATCTCTGAGTTTGAGGCCAGCCTGGTCCACAGATCAAGTTCCAGGACAGCCAAGGCTACAGAAAGGAACACTATCTCAAACACACACACACACACACACACACACACACACGCACGCACACCCACACCATTACACACACACCATTCACCAAGCAATACTTGAGTGCTTGAATGAAGTCATCTCTTTGGCCATCTTTGATAGCCATTTAGAGTTTTTGTTTGTTTGTGTTTTTGTTTTGTTTCTGGAGACAAGGTTTCTACGTGTAGTCCTGGCTGTTCTGGAACACAGTCTGTAGACCAGGCTGGTCTCGAACTCAGAAATCTGCCTGCCTCTGCCTCCCAAGTGCTAGGATTAAAGGCATGCACCACCACTGCCCGGCTAGAGTTTTTGTTAAGATTTATTTTTTAAACTTCTGGGTGTGGGGGGAACAACAAGGGATGTGTGCGGTCAGCGCACGTGGTCACAAGGTCTAGAAGAGGGCTTCAGACCACCTGGAGTTACAGGTGACTGTGATGTAGGTGCTGGGAACCTAACTCAGGTCTTTCGCCAGAGCAGCATGTGCTCTTAACCTCTGAGCCATCTTTTCAGCCTCCATTTGTTCTTTTCAAGAAAAGTTCATGCGACAGTAGGTAAGGAAGAGTCAATGGTGAGGTCTGAGAATACAAGCAAAGACTGATACTGCCTTTTAAGTGACCTAAATAACCAAGATGGGGCCTTTTCAAATGTCAACAACACAAGTCACTTCAGAAGTGCTGTTTCCAGTAAGATGGGAAATCTTAAATATTCTAAATTTGGTTGAGAACTTCGTACCCTGTGGAAGTATGGTTTAGTAAACAGCACATCTTGTTACACCCAAACAGCGAAACCCAGAGTATTTCGTCATTGAGAACACTTTCGCCACATTGACCTCAGAAGTGGCAGAAGTCTCTGGATACTTAAGATGCTCATCTTTCTCGGGGCTAAACATCCGATCCTCCTTGTGCACATTCTGGGTGGCTTTAAGCGTTTCGTCACGGCTGCCGCTGCTGGTGGCAATTGGGCTCCAGTTTAAGACTGGTGGTAAATGTTTTAAAAGGTCTTCCGAAGGTCTTCCTGCAGGACCGGGGGTCAGTTCAGTAAAGAACTTCGGAAGAACCACAAGATGCCGAGGTCCACAGCCGGCGCCGTGCCCAGGAAGACGTGTTCCCAGCCCCACGCGCCTACACTGACCGGGTCTCCGCAGCCAATCGCGGACCTCTGCCGGGACCCACGCAGCCAATGGCCGACCCAGTACATTGTGCTGTTGCCCACCCACCAATCCCGACCTCGGCCCCGCCCCCGCCTCCAAGCCGCACTGGTAGGGGCGGAGCGCCTCGTTCCAGGGGCGGGGGGGGGGGGGGTGCAGCGGCGGTCCAGGGTTTCGCGTGGCTGGGGTGCCGGGAGTCGGGCGTGCCGCAGCCCCTTTCCCTCTCTCTTGGATCCCCTGCCCTCTTACCCCCTTCCCGCCCCGGCCCGCGGTGCGAGGCTGGGAGCCGCTGCACGGGGCCGCGCCGTGGTGAGTGACCGACTCCCCCCACCCCCAGCCCATGGGCCTGCCTCCCGGTCGGTGCAACACCTCCGACCCTCAGAGCCCCATCCTCGTGGTGGGAGGAGAATCCTCCGTTGGAAGTCGTCTAGTTCTGTCCCCTCTTTCCTCCCCTGGACTTTCGAATCTGTGTTGTTGTAACCGGGGAAGGCCAAGGAGTGTATGTAGGGGGGATGGGAAAGATTGGGTTAGGACGCCCTCTGCGAGGATGCAGGTTCACCTGCTTCCTGGAGCTCACCGCCCCAAGTGCTGCAACTTTTTGTTCTCTGACCCAGTTCCGGGCCCTTCAGACTGCCCCCTGGGCTTCCTCTGTCCCCATGACTACCTCCTGGCGACCTCAACAGGCATATACAACTAGACCTCCCTTCTGGGTAGCACTGCCATTTGAGAATGAAAGGTTTCAAACAAACAAACAAACAAACAAACAACTGGCCCCGACTCTCGTGCCCCGCCTTACTGAGAAAACCAACCGGGAAACGAAAAGTCCTCACAGTTTCCTGGTGTTGCGTCCCTATCTGATAATTGTTAGCTGGAAAGAAACTCAAGCTTGAGACTTGTCTGAAAATCAGTGTGGGACTAGATCGATGCGTATTATGAGTCTTCGTCATATGTTTCAAATCCATGTATTAGGCTAGGTAGATAGTAGTTGCAAAAGCCAACGAAATCGAAAAATTAAGATACATGAATTATCCTAAACCTTACAATTGAAAGTAAACTTCACCAGTCTTTGGTGTATTGTTTAACTCGTCTTTTCTAGTATTAACTGCACCCTGAGAACTTTAAGGCTATGAATGCCTGTGTCCCAGTCCATTAATCAGAAGAGAATGGGGAGGAGGGTGGCCTTCTAAGTTTCCCAGGTAATTCCCACTCTAGGTGAGAGCTACTCACTTTGGTCATGTTATTTCCAGTTTGGCTTTCTTCAGAGTGAGGTGATTGGACCTTTGGAACCTATCAGAGTTGGAACACACTCACTTCAGTCTTCCACAGTTGCCTTGTCCACTCCTAATTGGGCAGGGTTTTAATGCATATTCTTGAATTAGTCTCTCCAAAGCATTTAATTTTCTGTTTATACATTTTTACTGTGTAGCTCACACTGGCCTCAAATTTGTGATCATCTTCTGCCTCAGCATGCTGAGCTGTCTTAGTTCCCATATTTTAATAGGTTTGCACGATGTTTTAATTACGTTATTATATAGATACCCAGAGATGACCCAGAAGTGGGCAGTTGTGTGGGGGTATTGTAACTGCCGTTTCTTTTGTAACGGCCATCAGGTTCTGCTACTTTGTAAAGGCCGGCCGGTTCTGCTGCTCCGGTCCGCAGGCCAGGGTCTAGCAAGAGAGAGAGTGGGGACGGAGGAAGGGGAAAAAAGGGGCGAGAGACGCAAAAGATAGATACAAGACAGAGTCCGGTGGCGTCTCTTCAAGTCTCTTCTTTATTCTCCTCTCTTCTTACTATATTCTCACTCCTTCAGTCTCCTGACACCTCTCACTTTCTCACTCCTTCCTCTACTTCCTACTTCCTACTACCTCCTACTACTCACTACCTCCTACTTTCTACCTCCTACTCCTCACTCCTCAATAGACAGGAAATCCGGGTATTTATACCCTTTACCACGTGACTTGCCCTCGTGGACAATCTCAACTGAAGCCACTACGTCACGTGCCTTGTAGCCATGGATACCAGGAGCACCTGGCAGCTGGGGGCACTAAACAGTGTAACAAGATGTTTATCAGAGTGCGCTCAGCTATTGCAGGCTGTTGAAACAAGTCTCTTGTCAGGGTATATGGCTCAAGATGGCTGTAAAGATGATAGCCACTTTCGGCTAAGAGTCGGCTCCCAACAGGGTATAAACAGTTGGAGAAGCACTGTTTCAAGCATGACAACTGAATAAAGCTAGTGTGTTGCCCTAAACAGTAGCTAACCTTGCATATCAAGGACACTGGGTATTGATCATTTAATCTAGTGGGTCAGTTAAATCAGGCTTCTGAACCATTTAGCACCTTTCCCAAACCATCTGGTACCACAGGTAACTGTCCCTTCTAGACAGCCGTACCACTTGTCTCCCAGTCCTTCCATTTGTTTACATCAAGTTGCTTGTTCACTTCTAAGTCAGATATCACACTGCCTTCATTAAGTTAGGAAGACTTATAAACAGAGACCTGAAGCTGGTATCTGGGCAGTGATGTCTGTGAGTACAAGTGTGACTTGTATTGGGCATACGTTTTTAAGTTATAAATTTTGGAAGGTTTGGGGAAAAAAAAAAGATTGATTTGTGTGCGTCTGTGTGAGTTTGTGTGCAGTCCATACAATCAAGCCCATGGAAACCAGAGGGCTTTGGATCCCCTGAAACTGGAGTTACAGGTGGTTATGAGTCACCTGATATGAGTTGCTTGGAATTGAACCTGTGCTGAGCCATCTCTCCAGCCCAAAGCTCTATGATTTTTATCTGATTCTCAAAGAAGTTGATGATCTAAAAAGTTCAGAAGCACTTAAGTTAAACATCATAAAAGTCCTTAAGACCCTTAACATTGTATTACCCAGACATACCTTAGGCACCATTTCAGATCTTATTTGAATAAAGACTTAGGAATTGAGCAGGATCATATCCAGTTTTCTGATTTGTCTTGTTTTAATACAAACCTGTGTTCAACTGAACATCCCAAAGTGCTTTTTCTCCCTGCCAGTGAATGGACAGCAGCTAAATTTCAAGTTTAGGCTGCTTGTCCTTCCTGTCTGTCTGGGGATGTTAGAAATCAAAGGGAAGGAAGAGTGTTACAAGTGTATTTTTTAAATTAATGGCTACACAGAATAATATCTCTGGCATCTGTAATAAGGATGCAGGTGTGATTATTCGAAAGAGGTTTACCACCACCATCTCTGCCCAGGTAGAAACCCTCTAGTTTTGATTCTCTTTCTCTATCCAGTCCAAAATGGAGGCACAAGAACCAGTGTTAAGAACACTGGTCTATCCTCCTTGTCACTCTTGCTTTAGAGACAGTCTCTTTATATTGTGCCATTGTGGCTGGCCCCTACTTGTCATTCTTATGAGCCATCTTGGTTGTAGTGTGCTCCTAATTGAAAGATTGACTCTTCCAGAGAATTTACCAGCTACACAGCAAAGTCTTGATTCTAGCTGGGTATAGTGGCCCACACCTTCAATCTCAGACATGTCTATAGCCCTATTTTTCTTTTTTTCCATTTTATTTTACACGTATGGATATTTTGTTGCACTTATGTCTATTCAGCACATGCATGCAATGCCCACAGAGGCCAGAAGAGGGCATCAGGTGTCCTGGAACTGGAATTACAGATGGTTGTGAGCCACCTTGTAGATGTTAGAACTGAACCTATGTCCTCTGGAAGAGCAGCCAAGTACTCTTAAAGCACTGAGTCTTCTCTCCAGCCCATATATATATGAACAGCAAAATCCATTCTGAAATTGTTTCAAAACCTCAAAATACAGAATATAAAATCATGGGGCTGGAGCTGTATATAGCTCATTGTTAAACTGCCTGCCCACCAGAAGGCTCTGACTTCTACCCAGTTTAGACTTCACAGATAGGGGTGCCCTTTTCTCTGATAAACTAAGCCTTAGGTGAAATAACTTGGCTAAGGACAAATTAACTTCAAGTCTGTTAACCTTAAGCCTGCTATACACCAAACCTCCATCTCCCAAAGCTGCTGTTCCTTAATTTATTACACCTGGCACACAACATATGCTTGATGACAATATGTAACTTTTCTGTAAGCACAACATTCTTTACAGAGGAGGGAAATGGAGTGGAGAATCATTAGGGTTTCAGTGGCTTACCCAGAGTTAGATGCTAAGCGGCAGGAGCTTAGAATTCATAAGCTGCTTCCACTTAGCATTTAGGAGCAATATAACATGATTCAAACAGAAATTGTTTGGTTTCAGTAGTTTGGTAAAGATTAAATGGTAGTGGAACTGTTTCTTTTCTTACAGCTGTCTCTGAAGGGAACAAACTAGAATACGACATGAGTCCTAATAAAGATGCCAGCAGTCTCAACAGCTCGGCAGCAGGGCTTGTCTGTCTCCCGCCAGTCTCCGAGGAGCTACAGCTTGTGTGGACTCAAGCGGTTCAAACCAGTGAGCTGGACAGAAATGAGCACCTGCTACAAGCCTTCAGCTACTTCCCCTATCCAAGCCTGGCAGATATTGCTCTCCTCTGCCTGCGGCATGGGCTGCAGATGGAGAAGGTAAAGACCTGGTTTATGGCCCAACGTCTCCGCTGTGGCATTAGCTGGTCATCTGAAGAGATAGAAGAGACTCGAGCCAGAGTGGTGTACCACCGAGACCAGCTCCTTTTCAAGTCTCTTCTCTCTTTCACACATTACGCAGTGAGGCCGGCACAGGAGATGCCTCCAGTGCCACCTCCAGAGCAGGTTGCTCTTGGACTGAGTCCTCTGGTGCTTAGTGAGCCCACTCCTATGAAAGGGTTGAAGGTTGAGCCTGAGGAGCCCTCTCAGGTATCAAAGCTGCCACTGAATCATCAGAAAGTTAAGGAGCCTTTGATGATGGGCAGCAGAACATTCTCCCACCAATCAGATTGTCAGGATCTTCAGATCAGTGGCCTCTCTAAGGAGCAGGCAGGCGGGGGTCCAGACCAGTCATGTGGTGGAGGGACTGCTTCCTGGAATCACTCCACAGCTGTCCATCAGCCAGATAATTCCCCACTGATCTCATTACTTGACAATAGTTGTAAGGAGGAATCCGAATCTAGTGGAACGCCTCCATCTTCCTCTACCTCTTCTCCCTCTTTCCAGGTACTGGCTAATGGAACCACTGCCACCCCTAAACCCCTCCAGCCTTTGGGTTATATCTCACAGTCATTCTCACCTAGTGAGCAGGCACTGTCTCCACAAGTAGAACCACTCTGGCCCCAAAGGCTACGGAATAACTCAGTACCAAGTAGGGTTGGTCCCACAGAATACCTTTCCCCAGATATGCAACACCAGCGAAAGACTAAGCGTAAAACCAAAGAACAGTTGGCCATTCTCAAATCATTTTTCCTACAGTGCCAATGGGCACGACGAGAAGATTACCATAAATTAGAACAGATCACTGGTTTACCTCGCCCTGAGATCATTCAGTGGTTTGGTGATACACGATATGCCTTGAAGCATGGACAGCTGAAATGGTTTCGGGACAATGCAGTACTTGGTACTCCTAGTTTTCAAGATCCAGCCATTCCCACTGCATCAACTCGTTCCTTGAAAGAATGGGCCAAGACACCACCTCTGCCAGCCCCACCACCCCCACCAGATATACGACCTTTGGAGAGGTACTGGGCAGCCCATCAGCAGCTGCAGGAGGCTGATATCCTTAAACTGAGTCAGGCATCAAGACTAAGCACTCAGCAAGTGCTGGACTGGTTTGACTCTCGGTTGCCTAAGCCAGCTGAAGTAGTAGTTTGTCTTGATGAAGAGGAAGAGGAAGAGGAGGATGAAGAACTGCCAGAAGATGGTGAGGAAGAAGAGGAGGAGGAAGATGATGATGATGATGATGATGTAATCATACAGGACTGAGGGAGGCTGAGGCAAAGGGGAGTCTATTACTGAAATATTAACCAACTTAGTGACTGGTCAAACCTTTTTGAAATTGCTCTTGTAAAAACTTTTGTGTTCTTGAGTAGGCAAAGTGGGTGATCTGACAGTAGACTGGAGAGGGTGACCAGGATAAACTGAAGTCTTGGATCAACACAAATCCAATTCTCCAACCTCCATGTAGAGAGAGTTTGGGATCTGGGCAGATAATGGCTGAAAGGAGCTCGTGCTCTGCTCTTGTTCTTGAGGATGCTTGTGTCATGTCTCAGCCCCATGTGACAGGAGAGGATTGTGATCCAGTTGATCCCAATGCACCCAGCATTTGTCAGAGAGCCCTTTGTGCCTGTCTGTCTTTCTAAGCACGTGCAAGCACACTGAAGCTAGTATTTGCAGTGGCCTGGTTTTGTAATAGACATGTCCTCAGACCCTTTTGATGATGTCTCACTCGATTTGCCACTAATTCACAGCAGACTGTTCTTGCTTGTGACACTGGGACCAATCTGCTCTCTACCATTTTATTTCTGTGAAATCCCCCTCTTTGCTCACTATTGTCTCAGGGTAAATCTTTACAGAGTTTGTGAAATTTTTTAGTAATCAGAGTATGAATATTAGTCTGTATATTTATTGGGGGTGGGAATGAGCCAGGCATAGTCCCTGTGACTGCCATCCTTGGCAGGTAAAGGCAGGAAGATCAAGGAATTCAGGGTCTGCCTTGACTACATATAAAGGCCAACCTGTACTACGTGAGAATCTGTTTTGAAACATTACAGTATGACAGAGGAGAAGGGCGGTGGAGTAGTTACAGGTTTGGATTTACAAACCTGACACTACTTTCTGCCCAGATTGATATAGATTGTTAGGTTGTTGTTGTTGTTTTCTTTCCTTTTTTACTAGTGCTTCAGTTTGTATCTAACAAGAGATGTTTCCCTCTTTATAGGATCTGTCTTGTGGACAGAAGGACCATGGTCTTCTAACTCAATGATGTTCTAGAACGGGGAATCTCTGGTAACCATTGGTTAGTCATCTGAAAATAGAGTACAAGCCCCAAATTGCTAAAATAATAATTAAAAAGGCTAAAAATAAAATCCTTTCTCTTCTCCACTTTGCCACTCCTATGTTTAAAGCTAGGTCTCTATCCACCCACCTTCATTTATGTGTGTGAGTTACTATCCTGTTACTATGTGTGTGAGTACACTGCTACTGTCCTCAGACACACCAGAAGGGGGCATCAGATCCCACTACACACGGCTGTGAGCTACCACGTGGTTGATGGGAATTGAACTCAGGACCTCTGGAAGAGCAGTCAGTGCTCTTAACTGCTAAGCCATCTCTCTAGCCCCATCTTCATTTTTTAAATGCTTGCCTTGAACTCACTGTGAAGCCATGGCTGTTGTTGAACTTCTGACCTTCCTGTTTCCATCTCCTAAATGCTGAGTATAAGTATGTGCTATCATGCCCAGTTTATACATTACTGGGTTTCAAACCCAGGCCTTTGGATTTGGTAGGCAGGTACTCTGCCAACTGGGCTACATCTGTACCTAGCCTGTGTCTAGGGATTTAATGGCTGCCGTGTAGCTCAGTGGTAGACCTCTTACCTAGCATGTGTGATACTCTAGTTTCAAGCCCAACACCACTTCAGAATTGTTTCTGGTTTGGTATATTTTTATTTTTATTTTTAAAAAAGAGTCAGTCCAGACATACTGCAGTAAATAAAAATAGAAAACTAGAAGAGTAATTCAGCATCTGTTGACATACACATGGTTTCCAGCTGTCAGATGACAAGATTTATTGGTCCTTCAGCAGTGACAGCAGGTTGTAACTTCACTTGCTCATCCCACTGTTCTAGAAACTGTTTTAGCAAGAGTTGCACTAGCCATAAAGGAATATATTTTTAATGATATTTTCCTCTTTATTAGTCTGTATACCTTACTAACCTGGAAATCTACCTATTGTTGTAATAGCAAAATCAAAGCTGGAAATGTATTCAACCTTTTGTTTGGGCAGAGGAAAATCAAAACATTTTATAGCAGCTGGATGTAGAACAATAGGTAAAAAGTATAATACATTAGGGCAGGAACAGTTGTTTATTAACATTGGCCACAGGATAGCAAAGTCCAGAGCTAAACAGTGAAATCCAGAAATGAACCAGGGTAAATATAGTATCTAGTCTCCCTATGCCAAAGCATGAGGCTAAGGGTTTTTGCAACTTTAGTTTTAAACTAGGAAATGAAAGGCCGTACATAGAGGGGAGAGATGATTATCTTCCTGAAGCCCTGTGTAAGACCAGTCGCTTTCTTGTGTGTTAATGTAAGACAGAGCCACTGAGATGGCTTAGAGAGTAAAGGCACTTGCTACCAAGTCCAATGACTTGAGTTGGATCCCCAGGACTGACTTTGTTGGAAATAATTGACTCCTACAAGTTGTGCTCAAATCCTCCACAAGTACATACACAAAATAAATTAATAAAAATTCAAGGGGCTGGAGAAATGGCTCAGCAGTTTAGTACACTTTGTGCTCTTTAAGAAGGCCCAAACCAGGTTCCCCAGCACCCATGTCAGTCAGTCCACAAGCTGCCTATAACCCTGGATTTAGGGGATTATACACACTCTGCTGGCCTCTGAGGGTACCTGCATCACAGGCACCCATATGCAAATAGTATACCCTCATACGACACACACAAAATAATTTTTTAAAGTTTTTAAATGTTTTAGAAAGACACATAAGATAAAGTCCAAGAGAACAAGCTGCAGACTGAAACCAGGAAACAGCAGGTGCCCATTCCCCTAACAGTACTGGACACTGCAGTCCAGCCTTGAGCATCATGCACAGATCAGACCTGGAAGAGGAATTTCTATCTGGAGATGCTCCATCCGTCTCTCCTGGCTAGTCCCATCTGCCTCTGTTGGTAGAATGTCTGCAGCAGAGAACAGATTTGCATGTTATGACAACACAGGCTAGTAAGGGTGGTCTACCAAGAAAGTTTTGTTGAACAAAATCATCTGCTGTTGCTTCTCCATGGTTTTCCTCATTGTATGATGAATAACTTCCTAACTAGAAGAAATTTTGTTTGAGACAGGGTCTCACAGTCCCTGTTGGCTATGTAGACCAGGCTGGCCTTGAATTCACAGAGCTCTGCCTGCTTCTGTTTCCCAAAGGGCAAGGATTAAAGGTGGTGCCAGCATGCCCAACCCAGACTAAGATCTGATACGTCCTGTGTGATGAGGGCTGTTGTTACTTAAGAAACTGTATGCTTCCGTGTTTTAGGATGATGATGATGTAAAATATTTGAGAAACTTTTGGAAGATTTGGAGCAATTGACTATTGTATCCAAAGACAATTACCAGGGAGGCAGAGATCTTACACCTCTAGTGAGGTGGCACTTTACAGTAACTATTTTTAACTTTATAGTGTTTTATTTTAAAAGTTTTATATTTATGGGTGTTTTGCTGCATGTACTTCTGTGCTCAGATGACGACTCTGGAGATCCCTGGGACTGGAGTTACAGAGGGTTGTGATCCACCATGTAGGTCCTGGGAATCGAATCCAGGGCCCCTGGAAGAGCAACAAGTATTCTTAACTGTTGAGTCATCCCTCCAGTTTTAGTAAAACAATGGTTCTAAACATGTTGAAATGACCCTTTCACAGGGGTCACATATCAGATATCCTGCATATCAGATATTTATATTATGATTCATAATAGTAGCAGAGTTATGGCTATGAAGTAGTACCACAGTCTGTGGTTGGGGTCACCACACATGAGGAACTGTATTAAACAGCTGCAGCGGTACAAAGGCTGGGAACCACTGTTTTAAAGGATAGACCAGAATAATGAACCTATCATCCAATATCAACAAAACTCATGGCCAATATTTATTATTCTTTCTATTGCTTCTTTTTAGTAAATTATACTAAAACAAAATCTAGATACCATTTAACTTCATAAAATTTTTATTTACACATATATGGGTATGTACTTATTTGTGTTTGTGTATTTGTGTTTATAAATACAGAGTCATCAGACCTGAAATACTTCTCGTGTTTACAGGTTTGTTTGTTTGGTTTTTTTTTTTTGTCTTTTTTTTTTTCCAGAGCTGAGGACCAAACCCAGGGCCTTGCGCTTGCTAGGCAAGCACTCTACCACTGAGCTAAATCCTCAACACCTACAGTTCTTTTAATACTACAGAGAATAGTACACATCTTTAATCCCATACTCAGGAAGCAGAGACAGGCAGATTTGAGTTTGAGGCCAGCCTAGTCTACAGTTCTAGACCAAGCCAGGGTTACAAGTGAGAGCCTGTCCCAGGAAAAAAAAGTCTTTAATAGTGCCCAACAGACCAAGATACCTCAACTGTCACACAGAAGCAGGGTTTTTTGTTTGTTTGTTTGTTTGTTTGTTTTGCTTTGTTTTGTTTTTGAGATAGGGTTTTATATAGCTCAGATTAGCCTCAAAACTTGATATGTAGTCAAGACTCCTAATCCTTGTACCTTGACCTCTCAAGTGCTGGGATGACCACTATATCCAGATGGAAATAACTTTTTTTAACAAGATTCAACTTGGGGCCACATACTTACAGATCTGCATTTCCTTATAGGGCTATCTCTATATCTGTGGGGTTCTGTGAGAGGATGCTGTTTCTTCAGTGCTACTTCTTACAGCTTAAATCCCAGCTTTTTCTTTTGTTGGTTTTGAGACAGCTTTAGTTATCTCAATCTGGCTTTGAGCTCCTAATCATCCTGCTTCTACCTCCCAAAAGCTGGGATCACAGGTCCGTGTCCCTACGCTGGGGTCCTGATATCTTAAAACAAAAGCAAACAGCAGCAGCAGCAGCAGCAACAAAAACGCTCATCCCTTCCTGTCTTCTCTCTACTGAGACATGGGCCTTGAACTTCATATGTAAGCAAGGATACCTTTGAACTTCTAGTCCCTCTCCTGAGTTCAAGTACCTAGATTTATGAAATGTAGGGGATTGAACCCAGGATTTAACACAGGCTGCGCACGCACCCAACCAACTAAGCTATATTCCTAGACCTTTTTTAAAAACTTAAAATTGTCTTAAATTTACATACAAAGAGTTTCATTATTAAACCTTAATTTGTTTTTATTGTTTTAGGGATTGATATCACCTAGGGCCTGGTGGACACCAGACAAGCATACTTACTGCTGATCTATATTCCTATATAGACCTGGTTTGTCTGTACTTTTACCTGAGACAAGGTCTTTAGCCAGCCTGGCTGGAATTTGCTGTGTAACTCAAGATGGACTCAAACATGTGATCATCCGTCTTCTGAAACCCTGGGATTATAGGTACCCTATACCATACCTGGTTAATTTTCATTTTTCAGGCAGGATTTTACTAAGGCATAAAACTCACACTATAGCCCAGGCTGGCTTTGAACTTAAGTTTCTTTTTACTTGAAGTCTCTGAGTATCATGAATTACAAGCTTTTGCCACCAGGCCCTACCTAAATTTGATTTCTTGCTGAAAAGGGGTATCTTAGATTATGGAAATAAACATATCCCAGTCTTACTATCCAGGAGCTATCCCTTGGTTCATGAGACATTTTCAGTGAAAATAACCTCAAAAAACTGCAAAGACACAAAAGTGGAGTTAAAAGGCAAGAGTGAATTTTTCACTTACTGGATATCCTTACAAACTTCTACTATACCCTTTCTTTTTGCTCTTTGAATTAGGATTAGCCTCATAAATTCACCTCTGGAGACAAATACTTTTCATAGTTTGTGCAAAAGATACATTCCATTAAGAAGGAGTCTTCATTGGCAGAGCTGGTCTCTGCTCACTGCTGTGTGGGAGACTGAGTCAAGAAAATGCTAAGTCCATGGACAGCCTGAGCAACTCACTAAGATTTGACTTAAAATAAAAGAGGTCTAAGGACAGGTAGCTAGGAGAGTACTAGCCTACAATGCACAAGGTACCCAGTGCCCAAGACAAAACAAAAACGTTATGAACTAAGAAACAGAACACCAAACTACTTGGGTCATGGTGACTGATGCCTTTGATCCCAGCACTCAGGAGGCAGGAAGATCTCTGAGTTCAAGGCCAGCCAGGTCTACAGAGTGAGTTCCAGACAGAGAAACCCTGTCTTAAAAAACTAAACAAACAAAATTACATCATGACCCCAAACCAAAAAAAACAAAACAAACAAACAAACAAACAAACCTCAGAGCAAACTAATCTTACAGTAAGAGAGAATCATTGAAACTGAAACCATCCTGAAAAACTGATGGACTGCTTATCACAGTGATACCTTCTGTCACTCTCCACTGGTTATCTTCTACCCCCTCAGTCTCAGCCTTTAGCTTGGAGGCCTGACTTCCAGAGTTCTATACACTGATAAGTTACTAGTCAGATCTCACCTGCAGGACTGGAAGTTGGAAACCAGGAAGATTCTCTGGTGTGGTTCTGCTTTCCCTCTGACCTGAAGAGTAGGACAGACTGTAAGAACTTACTTAGTTTCTCAGCCATTTTACTGTGGACTGTAGTATCTAGGAAGCTCTGAAACAAAGAATACTACTTGGAAAGGGAAAGACAGCTTGGCACAGTGGTGTTTGCCTGTAATTCCAACACCTATAAGGCAGAGGCAGAAGAATTATAAGTTTGAGACCAACCTGGCAATTGACAGTTCAAAGCCAGCCTTAGCTAAATGCAAAGACCCTGTTTTAAAAAAGGTACATACCTGCAAACCCACACTTGGAAGACTAGCCTCAGCTACAATGAGATTTCCAGGCCAGGCTGGGCTACTTGAAACCTTGTCTCAAAAAAAGTTAAGCACTTTGAGAAATGGGTAACAGTGTCTGTTCATTTTTTATGATGGCAATGTGGCTGTATAGGATGGTGTGGGGACAGAATAGTCTGAGGTTTAAGTTTAATTATAAGTTGAAAGAGGCAGGATAAATGTTTGAGTGAGCATTGAAGGTGACAACAGGGCTGGTGAGAGAGGTACTTTAAAAACATACTGGTTTTTACAACCTTTGGAACTAGACACTCAGCATGTTCAGTGTGGGAACTAAAAATCCACAGCTTATTTTTTAAACATTTATTATTTATTTATTTATGTGTGTGTGCGGGCGGGCTCACATGCCATATACACATGTGATGTCCAAGGACAACTTTCAAAAGCTGCTTTTCCTTCCATTATACAATTTTCACACCTGTGAGTCCTAGGGATCAAACTATGTCATCAGGCTTGGCAGAAAACCTCTAACTGCTGCCCTCTTACCAAATCCCAACATGAGATGTAGAAAAAATGCCAGACCTAGTAGTATATGCCTGTAGTTAAAACACTTGGGAAGTAGACACAGGATGATCACAAGGTATACCTGGTCCTCATAGATGGTTGAAAGCTATCTGACCTGCACAACAAGACCTGGCTCGGGAAACCTAATTTGTAGTTAGTAAACACTTTTAATAAGGCCTTGGTCCTGGGTTTGATGTCTAGCTTGTGGAGATGGGAAGCCAACCTAATCCTACAGACCAATCTGTACAAAATAGGATTCAAACTGGTGACAGGTTTGTACTAGTCAGGCAAAATTCAGACCATTCTCCACATTGTAGAGAAAACTTGAGAACATTAACTTACCAGAATTGATGGGAGTGAGGACTCTCGTGTGGCCTGGAACCCCACTGAATAGTGGTCTAAAGGAAACCCCCTGTCCAGAGGAGGCAGATGAAGGTCTAAGGAATGGGAATAAAAGCATCGGCAAAGCTAGAATTGCACCAGCCCAACTGTAATCCCAGGGGTGGTGGTCCGCAGAGACAGGAGGGCTGAATCAAGTCCAGGCTGAGTTCCAAGATAGAATTACAGACCAAGACTTGTCTCAAAAACTAATCAACCAACCAACAATAACCAAGGAAAACACAGTAGAGGAAAGGAGAGAGAAAGGTAAAAGTGCATGTAAAAAGTAAGCCTTTAGGTCAGAGTAGAGAGAAAATCCTGCCTACAACTGAGAAGAAAATAATCTGATTGCATATTATACATAGCACTACTCTATAAAGTACAGATTATGAATGCCAGTAGTATAGGCCATTGGGCAAGAAACCCTAGGAGTTCTGGCAGAAACATTGTGAACACACTCCTAGAAAAGGAAACAAGACAACTAGGCATGGTTATGCTTACCTGTGATCTCAGAACTTGGGAGGCAGAGGCAGGAGGATCAGGAGTTCAAAGGCAGCCTCAGCTACATATTAAATTTGAGACCAGCCTGTGCTACTTGAGACTCTGCCTCCAAAACAAAGCAGAAAATGAAGTGCAGTGTTACTTACCTGTAAGAGAGGCTATGAGTTGAAGCTGGTGAAGGAGTTTCTGGAAAGCATAAATATGAACCAGTGAGATAATTCAGAAGGGATTCAGGGGCTAGGGCAACATAAACGGGGCCAAAGATTTTCACATATATTTTAGGGTTAAGGCTAATGGTATGTGAAAAGGCTTGTAAGTCACATGGCAGAACCCCATAAAGGTGCTCTTTTCACTTTCTTGAGTTTGGAGGGCGTGTATTAATGTGGCTGTGCTTCAGCTTTCTCTCTAAGATAGTACTGAAAAGTAGAGCTGAAAGCGAGACATGAGTGAAAAGAGAGTGAATCAGAGCTCCAGAGATGATCTCCAACATCCAAGGCAAGGAGAAAGCTTGCAAAAGCAGTCAGAATATCCTCTCAGGACTCCTGAAATTATAGAGATCTGGTGCCAGTCTGGAGAATATACATTAAGAAAAACGAAAACAACCCCAACAGTGAATGTGAGTAGAACTCATACACCTATAGCAAACACTATAACCTTTCAACTGTACTCATGTCTCCTCTGATTTCATGGTGGCTCTGAAAACTAGCTGGTCATAATCATGTATAAAACAGGTTTGATAGTCACTAGAGGGAAGGACTGGGGTTGGAGTTCTTCAAAGCTGCCATCTCTGTGTATGTGTGGTATAGGTGTGCATGTGTATGCACATACATGTGGAGGCCAGAGGTTGATGTCAGGGATCTTCTATTGCTCTGTACACCTTTAAAAGCAAGGTCTCACTATGTGGCCCTGGCTGATCCAGAGTTCACAGGGATCCACCTACTCTGCCCGCCAAGTGCTCGGATTAAAGGTATGTGCCATTACACCTAGCCAGCACCTTATATTCTTTAAAAAATTATTTTAAATTATGTATACATGTGGATATGAGGACATGTGCCCAAGTCATGGGATCCCCAGAGCTGGAGTTGTAGGCAGTTGTGAGCCGCTGCTATGGGTGCTGGGAACAAGGGCACTATGAGCCCTTAACCGCCAAGCCACCTCTCCAGCCCCAGTACCTTATTTTTTGAGACAGGCTCTTCTACAGAATTGGGAGCTCATTAGTTCTGTTCATCTAGACAGCCAATCAGCACTCCATGAAATTCTCTTGTCTCTACCTCCCCAATGCTGACACATAAACTGTACCTGGACTTCACATGTGTGTTGGAGAATCAAACCCAAGTACATGCTTGGGCCTGCCCAACTTGACAAACTGAGCCATCTCCCAGGCCCTCAAAGCTGCATTTTTAGACAACTGTCATTATTTGAACTGTTTGGTTCTCTGAAAGATCTCACACAGGACTGTTTGATGACTTAGGACTAAAGGTCACCAGGTTTTTTATGTCAGAGTTCACCACACACCAGCCTCTTCCCCAGGAGTACTGCTGAAAACAATTATAGGCACTTGCTTTGGTTGCTTGAGAAGATGTCAGCTGGGGCAAATAACAGACTGAAAGACATAGAGGAAAACTGGGGGAGTAAGATGTGTGCAAACTCTGAGATGTCCTAACATGTCCAGGATCTAGGCCCAGGACTGTGCACAAATGCAGGAGACAGTTGAAAAGGCCTAAGCTTTCACCTTGAACTAACTCTGAGGCTATTCATACGGAAGGTCTCAACATTTGTCAATTAGATGACTGAGTGCCAAAAATATGCAAATTATGTGACATATAAAGAAAAGACTATGGCATGTATAAAGAAAAAAATAAGTAATCCAGCACTGAAATTTCCAAAGATATAATCAGGATTTTCCCTGTCCAATTACATTAAAATATTAGTGCATCAGGAGGCCTGTGATTGGACAGGGAAAAGAGAGGCAAAGCTAAGATTTGCAAAGACAGAGTGTCTCAGGAGAGTGGGGAGAGCAGGATGGAAGGTGTATGAACAGGATGATCAGAACCAGTGTGATTTTAAATAGCCACAGGTAGATATGTTTTTAATATAGGGAATAGAATAATTGGGATAACTTGTCTAGTCTAGGTGGGCAGCTTGTATTATCATTTGGCTCTGAAATTATTGTGTGGGCATCTTGTGAATTGAGAATTTATTGTTATACAAAGCTGACTGGTTAACTATAACTTCTAGAGTTTTGTTTTACTGGGTTACTGGAAGGTGGGACCACCGATCTCAGGGCAGTTATGGCTGTGAAGGAACTAGTGGCTCCAGAGACAAGCAAACCGGAGCTGGGAATACTGTGACCGGTTGCTGCGGGAGCTAGAGAGAGAGGTGGCAGGACCACACTGGGCAGCAGCACGGGAAGCCTACTTCGTTTTTATTATTTCACGCAACACTAATCATCCTTTTAAAATACATTTAAAGAAGGAAAGTAAATTATGTCTAAAGCACCAAAAATGGATTAGTGAGATGTTCATCCCTTAAATATTTACTGTGTTACACAAACCTGAGAGCCTGAATGCCTGGGTCTGATCCACAGAACCCATGAGAGAGAGAGAGACAGACAGACAGAGGGAGGGAGGGAGAGAGGGAGGGAGGGAGGGAGGGAGGGAGGGAGG